GTCTGCGCTTCCTGCATAGTAGCAATTGCCCATTTTTTCAAGTGCAATTTCTTTGAAAGTAATATTTGCCATCAAGTTCGGAAATCTATGAAAATAAGCAGCTGTTTGGAAAACAAAATAAATGTAGACTTAGGAGTTGATTGATTTGCTGAAATGTGTTCTTTGAATATGCGCCTCCAACAAGGGTGGTTCTTCGAGAGCCATTCTGATCTGATTCCTTTCAACCTTTACTGGAGCAGCTGATGTTATCTTCGTATTTCTCCTTTTATTAAACATGTCGTCGCTGTGATCGCCTGTAATGTTAACCATGCAGTTTAACCACCGGGGCCAATCGCGTCTGCTGTTTATCAAGTTGTTGAAGTCGTTCAGCCGATACGGTAGTCTACATATACTTTCCCTGTTTTCTTCTTTCTTTGAGTGCTTTTTGATGAATGGTTGTCCGGCAGTTCATTCATGGAGCCAACCAACCCTAGTGAACTACTGCAGTCTTCCCAACCCTCACTCAACTCAACGAATTTAGAGAAGTAGGGCATTTTATGAGGTTTTGGTAGGGAAAGACACCACTGGCTATTGTTTGGTAGCAGTATCCAATCAGAGCGGATTGCTACATCGCTCCCATGCCATCATTATTGCAGGAGACGCATATTTACCAGTTAACCAAATTTGCAGTCACGTATCTTTTTTAATATCTTCTTAAAGGACCGGTGTAACGTCCGCCGTTTTTGTGCATATGACATGTGCGGATTTCGCTACTGCAGGCGGATTTTCAAGATGATATAAGCATAGGCACAATAGTCGACATAGATTGAACACTGCTAAAATGATTTATTGCCATATCATAAAGAAAGTGCAATAAACGATAATGCGAAACTGTATTACATACTAGACTAAGTTGTTTATGAAGGTTATCGCTTGATCTTTTGTCAGCCTTGGCTGAGAAGCACAACACGGTAACGAGAGAGATGTAGGCTAGAAGGCAGGAGATAAAGACAATTTATAACTGAATAAATCAGAAACAAGCCCGCCGTTCATTACCACCTAGAACCACGGTTTACGAGAATCCTGATTCCTAAAGATGTGGTAGGTGGGGAACGACCAAACTTACGGTCTATTGTTTTTTCTGTTCATAGTACTTGTTACTGTAAGTGTGACATCTCTCATCTTATTCAGACTTTTAAGTGAGCAGCCGAATCGAGTCCAACTTTCGAAAGATTCGACCTCGCGTATTACATTAACTTTCTGAATAAAACTTGTACATCTGCGTACACCTTTCCTCTTTGGCACCTCTCAAACTTTTCAAAACGACAGAATCACTATATTATAACTTTACTTGATCTGTTTTATCGTCGTCTAATCATGAACAGTACAATCCAAAGCCAGAAATTAAATTTACGCGAAATGCAAATGTGATTTATTGACATCGAAACTATTTCAGGAAGAGTTCGCTGATGGGCTGCATGGCGTTCACTGTCAAAAGCGTACTTGACGAAAAGGTAATCTTTAACAACTACCAAAACTAGAGTTGCTGT